GATAGTGCCCTGAAAGTGTTTTGCGATTACGAATATACATTTGATGATGTAACATTGAATTATTGGTCAGAGGATGGAATGAATGATGTGATTCTCACGAAAAACAATATGGAACTTTGGGTTCATCTAGATGTTATCGAGAAAATCCAAGTGAATAAGTTACGTGATATGTTGATAAGTATAAAAGGAGCTGTTGGTATCGATGTGAACCATTCATGAATAAGACTATTCCACTTGACAGCACAATTTTCAGGATGTATGTTTCATATACTTGTAAGGGTTGTTGGAGAACCTCCAAATGCACCCTTATCAGTAATACGCTGGGTTGGGGAGTTAGAAAAACTAAAATGATACGTTGTGAAACATGTGAACGTATAACAATATGGTTAATCAATGAGGAATGAAGATGATGATTGATGTCCTGAAGAAAGGAAACATGACATATCAATATCATGTTTGCATGTATTGATTCTCAAATGAATAAAGAATTACAATATTCAAAAGCATAAAGAGATTTTTATTTATCAAAAATAACATATATGGAAAGAGCTTCAATATTGATGATGACTTATACAACGTCTCAGCTCTTGCAAGCATCTAGAATGATTTCATTCGTAAGTAAGGTATGCAGAAGAATCCTTCTGATTGTTTGTTATCGAACTGCTAGGTGCGGGCGTAGATGACTTTCCGAATTTTAAATCTGCATATTTTGGGGCCCACAAATCAGCTTCTATCTTGAATCCAGAACTGAGTGTCATACATGCGGAGTAGTGTACCTACGTATGCACGAACACAAGATGGCCGCCGCCGGAAGTGACGTCACAACCGTTTCTGTGGTAGAAGGTGTTGGCTGCACGGAAGTGACAAGATGGCTGCCGGAAGTGACAGATGACAAGTGACAGATGACAGATGACAAGTGACAGATGACAAGTGACAGATGACAAGTGACAGATGACAAGTGGCAGATGACAAGTGGCAGATGACAAGTGACAGATGACAAGTGACAGATGACAAGTGGCAGATGACAAGTGACAGATCACAAGTGACAGATGACAAGTGACAGATGACATGTGGAAGTACTCTGAACTTAGCCCCCTAGACTCTGGACTCTAGAGCTTATGGGTGTGTCCTAGGACTTTCTTCTTCTTCTTTTTGAAAGGTAGTTGATGACGTCACAATCTAGTGACTTTGCCCACCAGATTTAGGTTGGTATTACTACAATTGGTAGCACTTTGTTTCAAGGTCACCCGATATGCATGTTGCAGGTGGTCGATGAGTCATCCTTATCTCGACTTCATAGAACAATGCCTCCTTTGTTTGCCATATGTTATCTAGCTTTCCTCTAGAACAATGCCGCCTTTGTTCTCTCTATGTCACTGTCAGCGTTTCTTGGAATTCCGGCTATTCGGAAATTGCGACGCAATATACGAGAACAATGCCGCCTTTGTTTGCAGGTGTCCGATTACGTAACAACCCCATCCGATTGCATCATCCTTATCTGTGTGAGAACAATGGGTCCATTGTTCTGACGCAGGTGGCCGATGAGTCATCCAACAGACATGTTCAAACTTGTTGTTGTCACGAGCCATTCAATCATGGATACTGAATATGTCTCAAAGAACGATTGCCGAATCCTTCCAAAAGCTTATATTCGCTGTGCGCATGCGTAGCTACCACTACCACTATTCAGACTTGACCTTTGAATCAGTGTTACAATGTCCTTGCACGAGTACAGAAGCAAGTTGGAGGAATTTGGAGAGTGTGTTCGACAGCTGAACAAAGACATAACATTGTACCAAGATAAAACCAGAGTGTTGAATCAATTGGAGAATCTGAGTTTGTGGGATAAAGTCTTCAGCAGCTGTGGAATAGTACGAGCAGTAGAGGTGCCTGTTGAGCAGAGACGACACATCCAGCCTCAAAATGTCACGGGTGGCATTCATAGTTCTGACAGCAATTTTGAATAACGTATTGTATACAAATGTTCCCAACGATGTCAAGAACATGGCGATATGTTTCAATGACTCGAAAGAAGATTGCAATCGATCATCGTGGACAGCGATGCGAAATAAGTTGGTGAACAATGGATGTCTACCAGTATTCTACAAAGAGATACCAGAGACGAATAATTCCTTCTTCAAACTCAAGTTGATGTTTTCCGGTGGATCTGAAGAGGATACCGACTGGCAAACTATAGGAGCCCCCATATACATATATCGTGAATAAAATGATGGAACTTATACAAGGTGTTTCAATAAAACTTCAATCCTTATCATAATGTTTATTGAGTCAAACAAAGTACATCTTCATTTAGGTAATATTACATTTATAAACCACTGGTAAAGTTGATCAACGTTCCGCTGGGCACACATATATTTTCCATTGGCGTGGTTGGGGCAGTACGATATAGTTTGCTGGTAGGTTTCACTGGAACAGGGTGTTCCATCATACAAAGCAACATCGTATACAGTTGGGAATACTTCAAGTTCTTCACATTTCGTCTTCAAAAAGTCAGCTTTTTGATTGCCCCTCACGTACATACATTCAACCGAATGCAATAGATATTTCTCCAAAATGTCGTTCAGCTCCGTATATTCAACATCACCAGCCTCATATGGTATTTCATGAACGAATTTCTCCACATAACGGGTAGTTTTCTTGTCACGTCCACTAATGGTAGCAAACGGTGTAGGCGGTTTGAATAGGAAGTTGGATCTCTGGCGGCCAATTTGAATGTTCAGCTCTTTTGGGTAGAAAACACTGTCAAAAGTGAAGCCTTGAATGTCGACAAGTGCGATCCTCATGACGGCTGACGATCGAATGCGAGCTCGAGCAGTTTGCAGTTGGTATATATACAGGGTGTCAATTTGAAAACTTCCCACCCTTAATATCTCCCTCCAAGTCGTTAATATGGAAAAACGAAAAGACAGGTCGATTTTATTCTCGAGGGGGACACTTTGAATTGATATTTTTGACCATCATGGTTCAACCCCCTAGGAGGGGTAGATGTCACCCTCAGAATATGAATAGGGAAGAGGGGTCAAGTGGCACATCATTTTGTAGGGCGTTCAATTTTCTTTCCAACGATACCCTACTTCACTATTTTTTACGAGCAATTTCTGAAAAATAGCGTTCTTAATCTACAGAAGTGATCTAAACTTGCCTGCACAAAGATGCATGATTTTCAGGTTAGTATTTGAACAGAGATTTTTGAATTGATTCTCCTTTCAGTAAAACTAGTCAGGAAATTAGGTAACAACTTCACATCTTCTCAACAGGGGCAACATAATATCTTTCTCTTCAACGGTATATCTTACTTTACTATTTTTTGATAACCAGTGATTAGAACTTGCCTTAACTCAGATACATTGTCTTCAGGACGAAAATTATTGTTTTGAATCTTCCATTGATGAAAATGGTTAGAAGGTTAGGTGGCATCGTTACAATAAAAATAAATCTAGTCTACACACGTTTGATTTTTTGTTTGTTGGTTATATTACTTGGAAAAAAAACTTTCAGAGCGCCAGATAGAAATTTCGAACATCTATTCACGTTCTATATTATAAACTGTTCGAAATGTTGTCCATTTTGTTCTAAACAGTAATGAAGTCTGTTTTCGAACTCCTCTCTAACATTCTGGAAAACTTCACCACGAATCGAGCGGCATGCTGCTGTAATTCGTCCTTTGAGTTCATCAATATCCGTCGGTTGTGTTTTGTAAATGACGGATTTGAGATGTCCCCAAAGGAAAAAATCTAAAGGAGTCAAATCCGGTGATCTCGGAGGCCACTCAGTTGCTCCCCTTCTGCCAATCCATCTATCCGGGAATCTGTCATTTAATCACTGTCGAACAGGAAGAAAATAATGAGGTGGGGCACCGTCCTGCTGGAAATGTAACAGATCCTCCTGCAGAAGTAAATTACCGTCTGCATCAATTTGATTTTCTAGCTCGTGAGTTATAAGAGGATCGATAGTATCTTCAAGCATATCTAGGTACAGATTTCCAGTCAAATTTTCTTCAATGAATAAAGGACCAACAATGGCATTCCCAAGAATACCAGCCCAATTATTTTTTTGTGGTTGTTGTGTATGTCCTTCTCGAAAAATGTGAGGGTTTTCGTCACTCCAATAGCGACAATTTTGTCTATTCACATTTCCATTCAGAAAAAATGAACATTCATTGCTGAAACAGATATTTAATAATAGATTAGGGATGGCATTGACTCGATTTGACATCGTTTCACAAAATTCTATTCTTCTATCATAATCATCCCCATGGAGCTCTTGAAGAATCTGCATCTCATATGGATGAAATTCATGTAATTTCAGTGCTTTTCTCACAGTCTCGTGTGACATTCCCGTCTGTTCTGCCACTGAACGTAAGGAGCTAGTAGGTTCTGCAGCAAATGTTCCCAAAACTTCAATTTGAGCTTCTTCATTCAGTACTCTAGGATTATTCCTTTTTTAATTTTTCACCGAACCAGTTTCGTTAAACTTCTTCACCAAATCAAGCACATACCGGTGACTAACATTACAATCTGGATTTCTTTCATTAAAAAGAAATGCCGCTCTTCGTGCGCACTTTCCAGCCTCTCCATAAATCACAATCATTTCAGTTCTATTTGAAAGAGTGTAAACCATTTTCACAATTATAGGTACCTACTCTGAATAAACGTATTACTGATTAGCTCAACAAATGAAACTCATCAATCAATAATACTACCAGATCGTTTGAATTTGCTGAACAATTTTTTGCTCAAAAAACAGAGTTTTTTTAAATCAGCAGTGGCAAGAAAGGAACAAAAAAGGAAGGCCATCAAATGATTCATTCGAAGTGTCCCCCTCGAAAATAAAATCGACCTGTCTTTTCGTTTTTCCATATTATTGACTTGGAGGGAGATATTGAGGGTGGGAAGTTTTCAAATTGACACCCTGTATACTCAAATCAAGGTTCTGACGACTTCCGTTAGAGGGGAGTACTCTAGCAGACAGTCATGTACGATGATGCAATAGGCTGTGGTGTCAGCAGGGAATCCTTTATCGGCTTCGATCTCAAGCTTTATATCAACTGTCGATGATTTCATGGTCTCTTCCTGCCTCGAGCGATCAATCACAAATAATGCATGCTGTTTGAATTCCCCATAATCCAAGATTGGGTGAACCTCCGTCGAATGTGAATAGCTCGAGTAGAACCTGGTATAGTTGTAGTAAGCAAGGGTGTAGTCTTGTTTAGCGAAATCCAGCTGCATTTTCTCATTAGGCCAATATTCACCATTAAGGGCTAATCTGATACTAACTATGCTCGTGTTATCAAAGTGGGTAGCATCAGCTCCTGCATTGTCACGTTTAGCTTTCTGGAAGCATACAATAACGTACCGAGGACGTTCTACCGAAGCGCTCGTTTCGACTGCCCAAATTCCACTTTTTGCGCCGTTTGTAAGAGCAGGCGATTGGCTGAGGTCCCATTTCCTGAATGGAATCAGTATAGGTGTATCATTTTTAATGGGTTGCATCAGTTGTAGTTTGATTTCATCGTTCGGAAATACGTGCTTCACTTTTAGCACTACACTATGTATTTGTACTTCAACTGTAGTAGTAGTGGTTGTAGGTCCATTGGGGAGTTCCTGTACTATCACGCAATCGTTATCATTACGAGCTCGAATCAGTCGGATTGTTTGTTTTCCATAGGTGATTGAGGTGTAGTCATTGAAAACGTTGAACAGGTGCTTGAGTGGTATCAACAAACTGAATGTCTTGTCAATTGCATTCAAAAGCGGTTTATCAGGATACGTCCATCCGGCTGTGGATGAGTGTTTGGAATCATCAGGTTTATAGCACATGAATCCTCGCACACTACTCACGATCCCTGGATCTCTGACTACTTCTATCTCTCTTGCACTCTGCACATAACTGCAAGAATCGAATAGGAATGCTCCACAGTTGGGGGCCAAGTACACATTTCCAGCTCCTTGCACATTCAACGTTCCTTTGATTTCCAGCAAAGACTCATGCATTGCAAAAAATGTGTCTGCTTGATTTATGTTGATTTCCACCATATCATTGTTATTGAAGGATTTGACGTATGGGATGTAGGAGCGATATTCTTCTTTTCGAATGGTTTCATCATATCTGGGCTGACGATACTGATCAAAAATTGGGTTTGTGTGGTTGAATGTTGGTGCTGTTGATTCTTCCGAACGAATATACTCGCGCTTGTTCATTTTTCACTCGTAATCCGATTGCTTGCAGAAAGAGAACGTTTTCTGGAGTGAGCTCCTGTCTCTTCGGAGGTCCCGTTGATACTGAGGAGTTTGTGGTTAATCTTTTATTATCAACTACTAGACCCATTCAACGTTCTTGCAAGTCCAAGTGTAGGGTGCCCTTTTCTCCTCGAAAATTAACAGGTCTTAGGTCCTGATCCAGCACTCTAACGGTAATGTTAGTGATGTCTCTCAGGCTACTTCTCACAGGTAAATAGAGAGGGGTATTTGGACGTTCGTTGATAGCGTAACCAGGATCTACGGTGATGGGGAAGCTTGATATAGTGTGAGCAGGCCTGTCTGCATAAAACGACCCTTCAGTGATGTTGCAATCGAAATGTAGGCTTGATACTTTCAGAATGTTCACAGGACGATCTGAACAGTGAACTCGGCCAGGTTCCAAGATCCTCTTCGAAAATCCCAACATTTCACTAAAGCTGTTATCTTTCTCAAAACTGATGGTATGTTGTCGACTATAGATTTCACACTTCAAAGTATTGTTGTTGGACTTCAAAGTGAAATCTGCATCAGCTTCTTGAATTTGTCTCCGAATGTAATCCTCAATATTTTCTATCTCATAACAGCCGGTCGGAAACTGAATCTCTTTCAGCACTTCACGATTATCGTTCTCGTAGTAGTAGAACTTTTCACCATCAATATTCGGTATGGGATGATAGGTGTGAAATCCTAGTACAGCTATGTAATAGCTTTTCAGAGGGTGCAGTAGTATCGGTGAGGAGGGTGTGAAAGAGAACTGGTTGGTGGTACTCGTCAAGGTCAACAGTAGAGACATGACGTACCTAATGACACACAGCTATACTTATGAATATTTATTCCAAGACAACTCTACACTTCAGGAAATAATTACAACCATGACATTCAAACTGTGAGCTGACCGGGCCATCAACGTGGGTTCGAGCATCAGGTCTATTATAGTGGATGTAACAAGGCAAACGAATTCTCAGATCAAAGTTCTTCCTATAGTCCTGTGGTAATTTATGCCAAACATCTAATAGTTCCTAAGGTCTAACATGTTGGATCAGATAGTTGATGGGGAAGAGTGCCAATTCTTCTGCGGAAAAGTTTTGCAACGCCTTCTCACGGTGAAGATATGCTAAAACGGCTTCCATTGTACAGGAACTCTAGACAGAGATGACCACAGTTGATTTGGTTATATTTCTGGAATGGATCGTTATTGTAATAGAGTTTGACTTTGCCCAGATATTGGACAAGTTCTCTCGGTGGCTTCAGGCTACCGAATGAATCGAAATACTCGACGACATCATTTATCTTTCTGTAAGCTACCCAATGAGTGCCTTGGTTCTTTGACACGTCCAAATTTAGAATTGCAGATTCGCGTTGACGGGGTCCACTGCTTGGTAAGTTGTCACGCATGAAAACACCCCGAAAATGTGGGATTCTCAAATGTTCAACATACTTTGTCAACTCGACATCATACAACGGTCGATTGGGTAGCTTCATCGGAAGTTTTTTTGCTTTTTCAAAAACAAGCCGAAACCTCCTTTGGCGTTTCTTTTCAAGTACAGTCCTTTGCCAATAGTTTCCATAGCCTTGTTATGTCGATGGTCTTCTTCCACCTTTTTCTTTGCATTCCCAGCGTCAATGACAGTCTTTGCGATTGCTCCAGCACCTCCAGCTAGAGATCCTAGTGCACCAAGAGCAGCAAAGATTGGTAGCAGTGGTGGAATCCCACCGGATTTGGCATCGAAAGGAATTATTCGTGGTATTTTAACTTTTTTCCTTCCACCTGCTCGTTTAACGGCATGCCTAGCAGCTTTCAAAGCAAACGATGCAGCCTGTTTCATATTGGTCGAGGGATTCTTCTTCAACGTCTTTCCGATTTTCCCCACGATATGTTTTTTGAAAGAACATCCCATCCCGAGCTTGCGTTTCACCTTCATCCCGGAAGTAACTACTAATGCTGCAGCTCTTCCACCGAACTTGGCACCTCTCGACCTAACACGTTCCCAGGCAGCGTTCTCCAATACCGAATCCGCTAGTAGTTGAACTAGGATACCACGACTATAGGCATAGGGAAATACACGCTTTAATCTTAACCGGAACGCGGCCTGTGTTCTAGCGGGGAAGCGGGGTAGCGGGAGTGCGATGGCTTGACATCATCAGTGACAGGGTGTTTGAGTTGAAAAAAAGTTAAAAATTATATCTACAGGGTGTCCCACGGTTAAACCACCCCACTTTAGGGGTAGATATTGAAGGATTGGGGAGTGTGGGTACTCTGAGAGAAGGATTTTTCGCGAACATTCCAATGATGGCAACTTGCCTATATGCAAAGTCTCAAGGTTTACGAGATATCGCTCTAAATGCGTTGGAAATATCATATGAAATAGTCTCTTTGGATATGACATAGTAGAGCTAGTTTCGATTTTTTCCCAGCGTCAAAAGAAAATATGAATAAGTATTGAAGTTGAATATGATCAAATAACAGGAAATTAGTGATAAGAAGATATTACAATAGAAAAACAAGTTTATCATTTGGAAGAAAACAAACAAATTTTACAAGAAATGGAAAAAACAAGGTAAGAGCTAGTTTCGATTTTTTTCCCACCGTTGAACGAGAATATGAATAAGTATTGAAGTTGAATTGAATCAAATAACAGGAAATTACTGATAAGAAGATATTATAATAGAAAAACAAGTTTATCATTTGAAAGAAAAAAAAAACAAATTTTACAAGAAATGGGAAAAAAACAATCTCTTATCAGAAGACAACATATTATGTGAGGAACATTATGTTTTCATTAGATTAGATTAGATTTAGAATGGGGCCTTCGGGCTATCTGCCTCCACACCGCGACCTTTTCAGATCTATTGTGTCTGCCCTCAAAATCGATTAGAGTTCTTCGGCTAGCCCCGTCTTCTCTATGAGACTCCATAGGCTAGCTTTCAGATCCCCTGTGTATCTCTGGGCTTCTGGTTTTTCCTCACCCAGCGTAAGGAACCTTAGTCTTGACAAGCCCTCACAGTGGCAAAGTATGTGTACTGCTGTTTCCTCCTCTTCCTGACAGAACCTGCACAGCAGTTCTTCAGTCAGACCTATCGTACTCATGTGTTTGTTGAGCCTACAATGCCCTGTGAGAAGTCCCACTAGTATTCTAGTTGAACTTCGTTTCTGGCTTAGTAGATATTCTGTGAATGTTGGCGATGGTTTTTTAATAAACTCTTTTGCCTGTCTCATTCCTGGCGATTTGTTCCACCATTCTTGAGATTTGGTTTGCATCCATGATTTGATACTAGTCTTTTGTATAGCTTTCGCAATACCACAGAAGGGTTCTGGGCCATTCAGAGCTTTGTTTGCTCCTGCTCGGGCAAGTGAGTCTGCCTCTTCATTGCCCTCGTACCCTGTATGTGCTGGTACCCATGCTAGAGTCAGTCTGTTCTGACTGCCCAGTGCATTTAGGGTTTCTAAGCAGTCCCATACTAGTTTTGAGTTAACTTGCATAGAGTTGACTGCTTTGATTGCCGCCTGGCTATCTAAATAGATTGCAATGGTTTCGCCTTTAAACTCTTGCCTTATCAATTCTTTCACGCAATGATGTATTGCAATAATTTCTGCCTGAAACACCGTCGCGTATTTACCTAAGCTCAGTGAGATTCTTGTCTTTGGCTTGGCCCCATAAATACCGGCTCCTGATCCAAACTCAGTTTTGGAGCCGTCCGTATAGACAGCAATGTCTGCATTGATAGGAGGTCCTTCCTTCCATGCCTCTCTGTCCGTTATACTTATTTTAAAAGTTTTTTCAAAGCTATATTTTGGAATTATGCCATCCGTTGGCATTCCCATGATGGGGTCGCTTTCCAACTCTTCATATAGCTTTCTATAGTCTTTACCGTGCGCGTTGCTTATGGGTGCTTGACCCCTTGACAATCTACTCACGACTGCTCTGGCTTCGCCTTGAATATATATTTGTAGTGGTGGTAGGTTCAAGAGGACCTCTAAAGCGGCTGTTGGAGTGGTTTTCATTGCACCAGTGGCACTCAGGCAAGCTTGCCTTTGAATAGCACTGAGCCTTCGAATCACTCCAGCCTGTTGTGTCTTTGGCCACCAAACTACTGACCCATATGCTATCATAGGCCTGATGACGCTGGCATAGAGCCATGTGGTCATTTTTGGTTGCAGTCCCCAATTTTTCCCGCACATTCGTCTGCACAGATTGGAGGCTACTGTAC